GAGTGTCTGTATCTCACCTTGATGTTGGGCTTCCAGGTCCTGCTGGTGTCCCTCAATGTATGCTACTGCTACTAAAGGTGATGGTGGCAATAGCCAAGGTAACTCGAGATAATAGTTAAGGTGCCTCAAGATGGAAGCAATGTCTTACAGAGATGGGGCTGAAAGAGTGGGCCTCACAGTCCATTTGGGATGCGGATACTTCTAGGCCCTGTCTGTTATCAAAAAGTTAGGGGATACTGTGTGGGGAAGGCTATGGCGATGACTGCAGCATCTCACGATGGAAGTGGGTTGGGCTTGGGGGCTCAGGTGTGTGTGTGGAGGGGGGGGTCGAACTTGGACCTATCCTGGACCTAGGTCCTGCGCAAATGGGTGTAGACGGATCTGGGCCGGGCCTGGCCTCCCGTGGTAGTTTGCTGGTTGCAAGGGATAATCCTGTGTTGGAGGCTGGGCTCCGGGGGGTGCCTGCCAGTGGAGGGTGGACCCAGGCCTACTGTGAGCCTGGGCCCCACACAGGCTGGTGTGGGTGGATCTGGGCCATGCTTGACGTCTCGTAGTAGTCTGCTGGTCGGAAGTGGGATTCTGTGCCAGAGGTCTGGCAAGTGTCTGCCCTGCTGGTGGAGGGGTGGACCTCGGCCTCTGTATACTTCTTTTCATTATTTCAGTGTTTGGTCTTTCCCATGGTTTATAGTCACTCGTTTTCTTTCAAGAGTCATTTCTCTTTTCAAGAAAAATAGACAGTTATTGAACATTTTTTCCTTCTGATTTTAAGGCAAAGGTGGAATAGACTTAATGTTTTTGTAGTATCTAAACTGAATACAAGTGGAGGCCAACTTTTAAGTATTTTTACATTTTAAATCAATTTAACAAACTGGAATAAAATATGTCTGTCCTCTCTTGACACACCTGCATTCATAATGACCAAATAAACAGCATAAAATTAAATATCAAAGATGACTTTGAACCTGGATTTGCTGATTTTTTTCATGTATTTTTTTATTTTCCTAAATAATTTTTTTTTCCTTCCTCAATTTGTGTAGCCATATGGTTTCTTTCTTGAGCTTGTCAGTATCTGAAAAGTAGTCAGGTGGCTCTCCCCGATTGCTCTGCAGATATTGAGGGAGCCTTGCATTCCCAGAATCCACATGGCTGCAGTGTGTAATTGTTTACAGATGTTACTGACTATGATTTGGTGATATTTTGCTGAAGGTTTTGCCTCTGGTTCATGAGACTGCCAGTCTAAAGTTTTTCCAAGTAGGGCAGAGCTGGCTCCTAAAATGAATATGAAGTGTTGCCTTTCTCCTGTTTTTCCTAGAGGAGATTATGTAGAATTGGTGTTAATTCTTCTTTAAATGTTTAGTACAAAGCAAAACCATTTGCACCTGGAGATTTCTTTTTAGGAAATTTAAAAATTTACACATTAAATTTGTTTAGTAACTAAACTAATATCAGTGTTTTAATAGTCTATGGTTATCAGTGAATTGGTCCATTTATGTAGTTTGTTGAATTTGTTTGTAGTATCCCTCTCTTGTCCTTTTAATGTTTGTGGGACTGTAAGGGTAGGGACGCCTTCATTCTCGACTCATCTTCTGTCTTTTCTGTCAATCTCGCTGGAAGTTGTGCCTATGAAAATCATCTTTTCAAAAAACCGTCTATTTCATTTATTTTTTTCTGGCTTTCTGTCTTCAATTTTATTGATTTCGGCACTTTACTTTTCAACTTTGTAAGTTTATTTTGTGCTTTATTTCTTGAGATGGAGTTTAGTTTCTTATTTGCTACAGTATTTTGTGTAACTTTAATAATACTCGAATAATAATATTCGAATAATTGTTCTAGCACCCTATATGTTTTGATATGTTGTATTTTCATGTTATTCAATGTTTATTTTTTATTTCTCTTTTCAATATTTTAGTCTTTGGTCCAGAGATTTTTTAGCAATGTACTTTTTAAAAATTCCAGGGATTTGGGGGGATTTTCCTTTTTGTTTCTGTTATTAACTTGTAGCTTGGTTCCATTTTGGTCAAAGAATATTCTATGTGTGATTTCAGTTTCTTTCAATGTTTTGTTTTATGACTCAGAATATGATGTACCTCAGTAAATGTTCCTTAGCTACATGCAAAGAATGAGGAACCTGTTGTTGAGTAGAGTGTACTGTAAACGTTAGACCCTATTCCTAGGTGTTCTGCGTGTGTATTTTTCTTTTAGTTCTATTAGTTTTTACTTCATGTATTTTGCATCTCTTTTCAGATACATGCCCATTTAAGATCATTGTATCTTTTTGGCATATTGACCCTTTATTGTTAAACAGTGTTCCTCTGTCCTTGGCACATTGAAGTTCATCTACTAATAATAAAACCACTCTAAGCTTTTTCTTTTAAATTGGTATTTGCTGGTTATATTTTTCTTTTCATTATCTTTAAATTTACCCATGTAATTGTATTTAAATGTATTTCTGGTAGCATATAGTTAGGTCATTTTAAAAATCTCCAAAAGTATCTCCAAAGTATCAGAGAACTCAAATTTTGTGTTCCTTGATGCATGGCAGACTGAAGTTGGCCGTCTTGTTTTCATTTCCTGTTTGCCCCTTTTTTATTCCTGTTTCCCTTTTCCACCTTCCTGTGGTTTACCTGGAAACTGTAATATTCCCTGCCCTGGTTGGTGTGTTCTTGTTGCCACTGCTGTATGGATTACAGTATTGTAGCCCACTAGACTTCAAGTGAAGTCTGAGAACCTTGCCACCATTTAGGCACATTAACCTTTTTTTTTCCCCCATAATTTAGTTTTCTTAAGTATTTCCTTTATATACATTGAGATCCATGTCAGAAGATATAATTTCACTTTAAGTCATCTAGAGCAGAAAATATTTAGTTTCCATAGAACCTTCACGGCCACTTTACATTATTAACAACTTACATTATTATGCAGTATTTTATAATCGATGAACCAATATTAATACTTTATTATTAAAGTGCACAGTTCAGAGATCACCATTTGTTGTACACTTTGGGGAGTGTACACTGGCGTGCATTCACCGTTGCTATACTTGCTATGGCAGTGCTCCTCCTGTTCCTCCTTTCCTCCCGGAGCCATCCGCAAGCATTACCTGCAGTCTGCCTTTCCCAGAATGCCATGTATTCGGGATCATAGTGTGCAACCTTTTCTGATCAACTTCTCTCACTGAACAATCCGTGTTTTCTCCTCTGTCTTTTTAGCCCTAATTCCTTTTACTGCTGATTAATATTCCACTATATGGAGGTACCAGCTTATCCTTCCATTATTGAAGGACGTCTTGCTTGCTTCCAAGTTTGGGCAATTGGATAACTGAGTGTGATTGTTGGATCATATGGTGGTAGGAGTGTTTAATTCTATAATAAACTGCTAAACTGTCTTTCCAAGTGACTTTTGCATTCCAATCAGTAGTGAATAAGAGTTCCTGCTACTTCATATCCTAATATCCAGGCACAGGGGGGCACCTTTATAATCTCAGCTACTCAGGAGGCTGAAGCAGGAGAATGGCAAGTTTGAGGTCAGTGTGGGCGATTTAGTGAGACACTGTCTTAAAAAAAAAAAAA